GTTCATTGAGGAACTTGTTTTATGAAACGTATGCAGATTGGTTCGTGAAAACGTTCATTGAGGAGCTTTTTTTTATGAAACTTTTTGGGATGAACTGGTTGCGTAATATAATATTCTTGCATAATTTTGTTTTCTTATCAACAATATTTGATGAAATTGTTTCATTTTGTTTTATTTTTTTTTTGATGATTTTGTTCACTTAATGGTTAACAAAACATGTAATGGTAAATGTATTGACTCTATGAAACGTGTTCGTATTGGAATAAATTGGCTGATGAAATGGGTGCATAAAGAAAGTGAAACCATTTCATAATTGATAAGAAAATGCTGTGTAATTATCGAATAGTGAAGTAATTTCATTATTACGATGAAACGGATCCATCTACCAATAACATGAAAATGACAAATATCTCATCAGGCATTACGTTGATTATTGTATTGGTGAAACCATAAAACCATGTCGGATTGCAAAAACTCTGTCAATGAAATGGGCACATAATGACAGAGAAATCATTTCATAATTGTTAAGAACATGTTGTTTAATTCGCAAACAGTGAAACCATTTCATAATTATATTGAAACGGATCCATCTACCGGAAACTTGAAAATGACAAATGTCTCATCTAGCATTACGTTGATTTGTGTATTGATGAAACTGTAAAATCATTTCGTTCATGAAATGTAGTAGTAAATTTATTATTATTATTATTCAAAATGTTTCATTATGTTAAATTGATTATAGTGTGTTTTATTTTTATTGTTGATCTATTTTAATGATGGATGTTATTTTCTTATAATTTTTGAACATAAAATTAATATATTATTTTACAAATGATTTTGTTTCATTAATATTACGATATACATGATATGGTTGCCATTAATATCACCATTACCAAAGTTATCATTTTGCCCTTTTTGGGATTATAAAATAATTTTTTTTAATTTCCTAATATAACCTAAACTAATCTTGACCATTGATCAAAAAAATGGATGGATGAGATTGGTTTATATGGTTTACACAAATGAGGACGGTTTTCATTTGATCGCTCATATATATATATATATATATATATATATATATATAGGGGCCCATTCAATGGAGAACTGACTAGTTTGTAACCGTGAGATCCAATCTTAACCACAAATCAATAGATAAATTA